CTCATCAGCTACGGTGCGAAGACTCAAACTCTAACCGCGCAAAGCACGGTCGAAGCCGAGGTTCAAGCACTTAGCTACTCAGCCAAAGAGGCGGTCTAAATTTCAAATTTTATGACGGAACTCAACTTCAAGACCTTCGGATCGGTTCCCATCAACAGCGACAGCACCGGAGCGCTGACAGTGGCCGGGAATGCCATGCACTCTCAACGCACGAAGCACGTGGCCCTGAGGTACTTTTTCATCCGGGAGCTAGTACTACGGGGACAAATCACTCTTCACCACCGGCCCAGCGAGCACCAGTTGGCTGATATCGCGACCAAGTACCTCCCAAAGCACCGATTCGCCTCCATCATTCAGCAGATCAAGGACTTCTCGTGTTGATCGAAGATCTGTGAAGCTTCTTTCCATACCCGCCATACCAGAAGGAATTTATTTTCGACACGATGCCAACGGAGGGGTCGAGGTAGACGAGGATATGGTGATGCCGTCGACCATTGTGAATTAGTTGCTTGATCGAGGGGTCGTGTCAGGAAAATCGTGCGTCGAGACCACCAGTAGTCAGACACGGTTTGACCTGTGAATACGATTGCAGCAACTAGTCTGTCTAGCAGTAGAAAAAAAGATTCCATCTCTCCGTGGCATGTATTCTCTTGTTCTACAAATATTCCGGAAGCATGCTAGGTCAAGGTTGACCGGGACATCTACGTAGAACGTGTGTAGCTTCTGGAAGCCTTCTGGAAACTTCTGGTTCCTTCTGTAAGCTTCTGGAAGCGTTCTAGATCTAGGTTGCAGTTGATACTCTTCACCTAGAACGTAGGAGGGCTTCCAGAAATCATTCTGGAAGCATTCTGGATATTTCGTGTGATTGGCTTACTTGTCCGGTATTCGAGAAGAAGAGTGGTGCAGCCCTAAGCTCGCCCACCTCTCTCACTCCTCTTCAGTACCAGCAACATCTGACCCGGGAGTCAGCGATTAATATCCTTAATAAAAACACCTTCATATTTCTATTCCAAGTCTCTCGCGGTTGGAGCCGCACAGAGTGTGAACCTCTGACGTAGACTACACAGCCTACCGGCATCTGCAGCATCGTACTGCTGCTAGTGCACAGCGAAATATACGCTGACAATGTATGTCTCATGTACATATATAGTATGTGTACCAACAGCAGCAGTTGAGACGAGAGCACCACGCAATAGTGATAGTTTTGGACCAAGAACGGACTGAACGCCGCTTCTGCCGCTTGTCCATCTCCATACTTGTAACAGACCTGGACGTGAGTCTGGCAGGTCTTTCTAGCGTTCTCAGTGAGTGCAGCGCCCGCGGTGCGCTTGTCCGATGCTTCTTGTCAAAAACACGGATCCGTGAAAGTAGAAAGCCCCCAAAAATCTCGGCTCACCTCCCATACATAGGGGTCCAACAAAAGATAACTAAATTATTTTGCGCGAAGCGCGAATTTTTTGGAGAATTTTAAGCATAAAAACACGCTGATTTGGTGCACGTATACAGTTGTTTTGGTGCCCGTACAACACAGTTGTTGCGGTGCACGTCAGCAGTAGAGTTGGCTTTGCTCGTGGAGGTGAGGATAAGCGCTTCTGGGCTTGCTATGCGTAACCTTTTTGGTCGGGATAAACGTACATGTGATTTGGTTCGAAAACTTTTAGCATCAAGATCAGAGAGCGCGCGAACAACCACGGCCAAAAAGTAGAGATGGGCGAGGAAACCAACAACTCTGACAATGTGGATCACTGCCAATCTATCCTAGACTACTTTCTTGGATAGAGATGGATTCGTTGTGTCATATTAAGAAAACAAAAAAACAACACAACTACAAGTATTGTTGTTTCCAAGGGATCACCCGCAATAAATGGTGTTCGGAACTTCGCCCAAATATCCCGGACAATACCGTCACACACTTCATTGTGCACTTACTCACTACTGGTACTAAATGCCATACCGAAACCCAAACACACACGCACCATATTTTCAACCATCCGCTGAGCAACACTTCGCACAATCACACCGGCCGAACAACTTCTGCCCCCGCTGAAGCCTTCCTGTTCTCTAACTCTCCGGCCGAGCGTACTCCTGGTGGCACACTGCAAGGCGGGCTCCCCAACTTGTTTCGCGGGTGAGCGTGCGCGCTCTTGTACGAGCCTTGCTGTTTGCGGTGGCCGCAAGTTGTGCAAATCTGCGGCTCCCGCGGGGGCCCCTTGCGTTTCTTCCCCTTTGCTTGGGTTTGTACCTCAATCCCACCTCCACCAACGTCAAAGCCGCCACCACCAATGCCATCCTCATCGTCATCACCAACGTCCACCATCTCTGAATCATCTTCCCTCAAGTCTTCCCCACCCGCAGCACCCCCTCCTGCAACGACCACACTCCGTGGAACAGCAAGGGGGACACTGACACCGACTAAATCACCAAAAGCCGCACCCTCTTCACCTTCCTGTAGGTGCACACACAGCGCTGAATGCTGATTGCGCAAAGGCAACATCGTAAATTGAGAGTTAGCACGTTCAAGGAACTTTTGGTGGTACGACTGCGGCTGACCTGAGGTTTTACGATACACTGCTTCAAACTCCACAAGACCAGACTCGATCTTGGCACAATGCTGGTTCTATGCTACGGCCCAGGCATCAAAGCTGATGTTTTGGTAGTTCTGATTCCTCCCCTTTGGCTGCCCCGGCATATAGAGTTGGCTGTTCAGCTCGCTCGCAAATTTCCGTTTCTCTGCTCCAGTATGAACGGGCGTGACCGGCATGCCGGCATGCATCATTTGGGCGTACTTCTTCGCAGAATGCGTGAGCTTTGGCATTGGTACGGCGTTTTGGGCCAACCCTTGCTCGTCAACAAGATCGCTAGGCTCGCTCGGTACGTCCCCACCACTGGCAGGCCCCCACAGGCTCTCAGAAAGGCCGCTCTGCTCACCAGTGTCTGCTGCGTCAAGCGCAGAGACCCATTCAGGAAACAAGGGGCTGTCTGGGTACCAGCTAGCAGTCTCTCGTTGAATTATCTCAATCTCGAATTGATCGAAGAACTCCCCAACCTCCCTTGGTAGGCCGCGGTTCTTCACAGCCATCCCAACATTCCAACGGTAGTTGAACTCGAGAAGAACGGAGTGAGCCAGTGAAGGAGACGCGCAGTAAGTTGAGAGCAGCCTGCGAAGGTAGCGATGATAACCCTTGTAGGGCAAGTGCATGGAGGAGGCCGGGAAAGAAACTAGGTTACATATACACGAAACAAATTACTGACCGCCAAGCGAAGAACCTCAATACCGCCATAAGAGGTGATGACGCTGTATCCTGAAGGCATTTCACCAAGAAACGGGCTTACACGCAAAAGGATACCGTGCAGCGAATAAGTCTGGTACCTCGGTGCAGTTGGTGCCTCGAACGCAGCGACGAGTCGTGATCCCCGCTGAATTTTTCCCCGTAGTGTATGTAGTACAATGGCACACGTTCAGGGTCGCTCAGGCAGCCACTTTCGATATGCTTGCGGAGCAGTTCGACGGCCTGCCTCGCACACGGCCGAAGAAGTGTTTCTCCAGATTTCGCATCGACTACGTCCTGGAACTGACGAATCACCAAATTGAAGCGCTCGAGCAATCGTTTCTGCTCCGGCACCAGCCGCCGACAATTCCGAACGAAGAACGTCCAGTTCTTGTCCTTGTACTCAACAACGGCTTCTGGTGTCATTCCCTTGCCGGCAAGGGCCTGCTCTACCTGCAGTTTGAAATGGAATTGGACGTCAGTGACGATACACAAACCAGGCGCACGCAATAATATGTGGACATTTGAAGCCTTGTCAAAGTACTGATCCGACCGACGATGACGAGGACAACAGCACTTGCCTCTTTGATGTCATCCAGGTTGACAATGAAGCAAGCATCTCTCAGTCGAGCCATGAAGGGCTTGAAGGCGCCGTGGCTCTTCTTGCACAGCTTTGAAACGCGTTGGAGTGCGTGGAAGATATCCAGGCGAACCTTCAGCGCAGACTCCCCGTTACCTACCTGAAAACATTTGGCCAACATTCAACAGCCACAACATTGGACATTCGAACAACGATGTTGGAAAGCCGGATGGAAAAAAGGAGCACATTCAGCACAAAAAGCAGCCTAGGAAAAGGCTATCACTCACACGTTGACACTCACTCACCCAGTAATCCATGTCGACATCACCGCCGCTCCCGGCTCCGCCTCCCCCGCTCCCGGCTCCACCTCCCCCGCTCCCGACTCCGCCTCCCCCACCGCCTGGTCCGCCCCCCGCACCCCCGGCCTCGCCCCCTGCCCCGACCCAGTGATCGCCGCCGCCGGAACTACCGATGTCGCCGCAGTCATGACCATCGTATTCGTCCTCATCGCCGTCGTCCGGGTCTTCATCATCTGCGAAAAAATACGCGAAAAGAAAATATATTGTGTAAAAAAGCGGGTCAGAGAAAATCTTGCCTGAAACCGGGGGCATGCAGCTGTTCGGCACATTGTTCACCGAATGGAGAGAGGAGGGAGACATTCTTACCTTGTGAGTGCACCACGTGCGGAGGTCTCTTGGAAGCGTAGAACTGGTCGTTGTCGTCGTAAGCTGCACTATCATTCGCATTCGCTGAAGGTGCTGCTGCCGCAGGAAGTGGTTTCCAGTCGCTCACGAGACGAACATGGGCGATGTCCCAAAGCACAAGTCGGTCACCTTTGTCACTGTTCGCGTCTTTCATCGTCACGCGACCCACACCCGAGGCCGCACGTGGTGCACCTTTGTGTGGGATGTACGCCGCAGGCTTGAACACCCCGTTCAGCATGACAACCACTTGCGTCAGACGCCCTTTTCTCCGTGCGGAAGGGCGCCAGCGATCCAAGGCTTCGGCAGCGATTTCATCGTCCTGTACCTCTCCAACACCAACACAGCTGGCATGGTTTTTGCTGTAGAGTCGTACCTAGCATCATGAACACACACGGCGATATCACATGGAAATCATGTTGAAGTCGACCCAGGTATGAGATTCGGCTGCGGGCGTCATTCTTGTGCTGGACAAAGGAAGAGTTCGGTACGACCGGTACACTGTATCCACACACCTTTGTTCCGGGTTGCAGCTCCACCGGAGGAGGGGAAAGAATAGGATCCTGGAACTTCGCCACCTCCTGATAAACAAGAACGGACGCGTAAGCATCCAAGCAGGCATACTGCACCTGCAACGGTCACATCAGGGAGTAGCAGAAAGTAGGCATCACCTAACATGACCTGAGTAGGTTAAAAAAATGGCGCAAGCGGTAAAGCAGTCGACAAAGAAGAACAAGCGCCACAAAAAAAAATCATTCACCTGCTTGTCAGCGAGGGGAGCACTCCAGCGAGACAAGCGGACGACCGGATCCTTGGGCAACTGTCTCCCAAGCAAGTGAGACGTCATACCCGCCAGTGAACGACACGGGGTCTCCACCCAGCTCTGTCTTGCGAAAGTTCGCAAGTCCACCGTGTTCGCCACTTCGACCCCGTAGTCCCGCTCTAGATACGACGCGTCCGAATTGATGTTGACGCCGACCTGCAGATGCGAAGTAACAAAAAGCTGAGCCAGCACAAAGAAAAGCAGGACACGATGTTTGCTGTTGCCCTACCGACACATGCTGGCAGCCAGGGCTCCGGGCCAAGGAAAGGGCTCAGGAACTGGGGTCGGATTCGGCTGGCGTGGTCTGGCGAGGCACACAGCACCGGGGCCTCTGGGTTGCCGAAAACACACGTTGCCGGCCTGGACTGTCGTGTCTTCAGCAAGGAGAGGTCTAAGGCTCCAAAGAGACCAACCAGCAGGGCGAGGGTGACAACAAATCGCCATGCCTGCATGTTATCGGCCCGCTTCCCGGTGCGGGCCCACTTGTCTGCTCTGCTGCTGAGCTCCTGCTGGTTTCTCGTGTGTTGTCTCGGGTGTTGCTGTGTTGTGGCTGCTGTGAAGCCTCTCGGGTGCTGCTGCTGTGCCGTGTCTCTCGGGAGGTTCCTCCATCGGCGGCGTGACCATCGTGGCCATCGCCCAGTCAGCTGTGTCTGTCCAACATAATGTCCTACATAGCTGAGCTCCTGCTGGTTTCTCGTGTGTTGTCTCGGGTGCTGCTGTGTTGTGGCTGCTGTGAAGCCTCTCGGGTGCTGCTGCTGTGCCGTGTCTCTCGGGAGGTTCCTCCATCGGCGGCGTGACCATCGTGGCCATCGCCCAGTCAGCTGTGTCTGTCCAACATAATGTCCTACATAGCTGAGCTCCTGCTGGTTTCTCGTGTGTTGTCTCGGGTGCTGCTGTGTTGTGGCTGCTGTGAAGTCTCTCGGGTGCTGCTGCTGTGCCGTGACTCTCGGGAGGTTCCTCCATCGGCGGCGTGACCATCGTGGCCATCGCCCAATCAGCTGTGTCTGCCCAACATAATGTCCTACAAAGTCGACATGTGATTGGTGGGAGGGCAGCATCTACTCGGCTCTACCCCTCTAAAACATAGATAATTTGTTTTTGTTCTTCCGGTCCAACATAATTTTTGCCCTACGTATGGGTGCTGTGCCAAAATCTCGGCTCCTTCTTTTCACGTTTTCGGGGAAAAACGCCTCCATATATGTTCAAGAAGACACTCTTCCATGAATGTTCCGCGATTTTTTGGTCGTTAATAAAACCCCTTATTGGAGCTCTGCACACGCCATAGTCTTTAGACTATATGGAGAAAATAGTATCACAGCAACTCACCAACTGCCACCAAAAAAACTAACTGCAGCAGTTGCAGATTTTTTCCCGTTCCACCAGACGTCGATATCAAGCAAGTGCATTTTCCTCAACATTATTGTAGCTGCCACATGTGGGTGACATGTTGGGGACAGCTGATTGAATAGGCGGACGCCGAGTTAATTAAATCTGTCCCGGTGGTTTTTTTTCATGCCACATGTATTATAATCGTAAGACTCACGACCCCGATCGGAGGGATTATGCATGTTTGTGTATTGCTGAGTCTACTTTACTACAGAAGTGAGAGTGTGGAGAAACCCCGCTGCATGCTGGGTTTATTCGGAGCCATTCTAGAAGCGAAAGTGTGTCAAGCGTGTCCACGAAAAAAAAACTACACTGCAGCAACACCACCACCTTTGGTGACTTGTCGTTCGGTGTTTAGTGACATTGTCGTCAGGCATCACAAAAGACGCTCATCCGCTCAATCAAGTATTCAAAATACGATGTCTTGCCAGAAGACTTAGGTGCCATATCTACAAGGAACCGAGTTGAAGAGACGTACGAGAAATGGGATAGCTGCAAACCTTGCAGCTATTTTGCCGGCCAGTCAGTTTGTGCCCTCTTGATTGTCCTGAAAATTCTCTCGCCAAACGCTGAACAGACGGCACCCAACCTCCCATCCCTCCCTCCGGAACCCACCCCCAGCTTGTTTGTCCTGACCACAAGGTTTAGAAAACAAAAGCCGAGCTACATTTTACACTGCTGTTGACAGTTCTTGATAAAAGTACATGCTCCAGTTACCGTCTAAACATCATACGACACGCATGATGCCCGTATTACGCCCGTTTCTTTCGCATCATCCATCTCCTTTCTCTCCCAACGAACGAACGAACGAACGAGATCGATCGTGTCTGCCTCCCACAAGAAAACCCATTTTGAGTCTGAGTGCCAAACATGGCGGCAATACAGCAACAGAAACTGTTCCGCACGAAAAAACGAATACAACGACACGTGGGCAGGCAGTACCACACGGCGCATGCCCGAACGTTGCTGCAACGACACACACACGCGGGCCTGCTCGCCTTCTACCGGACGACACCAAAATAACCAAGGGTCAAAGGTACCTGCAGGGCGCTACGTGTGATGGTGTGCGTATGTTTGATGCTGCGTGATGGCCATGCCCCGCTTTCTCATATCACGCTTCCCTCCCCGGCACCGCACCAGAAGCGAAGGGACAGCACCAAGACAGGCCCCGGAGACGACAAGACTCAAAAGAGACAAGACAGGCGAGCTCAACAAACAAGCTATAGGTGGTGTCTGAAAAAAAAAAAGAACGGCACAGCCAAGACGGCAAGCGGCCGGGGGCTACTTATTGTGGCCATCTTTCGCTCCTCCAAACAAAACCAGGCAACAGGCCGGAGGATGTACGACAGGCCGGAGCATGTACGCCACCGCCACCGCAGATTCAGCACGAACACTACGCGGTGTTGCCATCGATGGCACCCTTGCACCTCTTGCCGCCCTCTTTCTCCCCCTTCACACGCCATCATTTCCCGACGGGTATAGACTAAAGCCAGGACCACGCTTGAATGATGAACTCAATCGCATGTTACTAGTGAGACGGGCACAGGGAACACAACAGGAGGTGTGCGGCGCTGCATATGCATGTATCGCGACTTCTTGTACTCCCAACATACAATCGAAGCAAAATGCACCAAGAAATGAAAACCTCCTTGCAAACATGTAATGAAATATATAGTCAACAAGCAATTAACCATCCTCTCTGCAGGGGAAGAGACAACGAGTGAGGTGAGACTGGCACAGGAGTAAACCTGGAAGCAATTTCCTCTCTGCCTACTCCTGGCCATGAGCACAAAAAAAAAAAAAGATCGAAGCGCTCCCACTCGTCCGCTACCCCTGGTCTCGCTCCCCCCTCAAAAACATTCGCACCTGCATGTACACGCGCATTTTTCTATACCGAACACCCGAATACGCATTTGCTACCCCCCGCCTATTCATACTACTCCCGTCAAAAGCCACCAAATCTTGACATGATTAAACTTGGGCGTGATCCACACGCCCGGCTAGCTGCGCCTAAGACTTGGGGCCTCCTATCCTCTTAGCGAGCGCCACCACCCCGCCCCTGTCAAAACGCAAGCAACTCTCCTCGCGTTTCCAGGCGATCGGTCTGCTGCTGTCGCGCTTGAGCGATTGATTCTTCTAGAAAAAACAAGGGAGCAGCGAGCCGAGCCACACCCACACAGACACTTTTGAGACATGGCACAGAATGAAGTGCCGAAAAACACGCAAGACGGCGTAGTAGTTGATAAGAAAATGATGTTGCACCTATCTATACTGTACCGGGTACGGCACGACACGCTGCCAACCTCGCGAGTAAAGTTGAAAAGAGTAGCCGAGAGAAGGAACAAGAAGAAAAGGAAAATAACCGCGCCGTGGCAAAAACCGCGGTCGTTCCCCCCTCCCCGCTGTATTTCCTTCTCTTCTTTTCTTCCTCTTTTCCTCCACACACACAAAAAACAGACAGCAACCGATCTGACTCTCTCGCTTCTCCCTCCTGCCATCTTGGTTTCCGTCACACGCGGTATTTTCGAAAAAAGGGGTAATAGAAAAAGAGATCTAGATAGATATGGCTCAAACGTACCACCATTGATACTCAACAACTACAACAACAGCCTCCGCCCCTCCCCCCCGCGGACAAAAACTACTACTACTACTGCGGCGTTCTCACACGTCCAACCGCTGCTGTGACGCAACCTCTCGTTGATAACAACACGCAAGCGCTGGCGGTCCCAGCAGCAGCCCTCAAAGCCCCACACCTCAGCCTTGCCAACGTACCGCTGTCACGACCAAAAAGCACGTTCGTCGCGTGCGAAAACTCTCCACCGCTGCGCCAAACAGATCAAGAAAAACGGCATCTGGCACACACGAAAGGAACTTAACCAGCCACAGCGAGCTCAAACACAGCGACGGCGGGCGGAGGGCGTGGAGCTCGTCTATAACTGGTTGGCTTGGACTACCCCCACACCTTTTCAGACCACAACGACATCGACCCCCCTACAACAGAGGTACGCGAGATTATGGGCAGCACTTTCAGCGGGGAGACACGAAAGGTTGACGCCTACAGCACATTGGCTGGCTCACTTTCGGGGACGTGCTGTTCTACAACTCACGTCGTTAACCCGTGTCCCCCACCACGCTCCGCTCATAAAACGTTCTTCAACAGAACAAGTGAGCAGACAACGCACCGGTCGGCTCGCCAAACAGCGCCACAAACTGAAACACCTACTGCTGTACAATTTACATCGCCGCATCCCTTCATCGTTAAGGCCAAACTCCAAAACGGCCATGCATTTTACCGTGAACAAAAAAAAAGACAGAACGCGTGAAACCTGTCTGCACCACGGGAGCCACGTCCTCTCCCTGAGAACACGTGGGGCGACGACAAGAAAATATATGTGTGGGGGGGAGGGCGAGTGATCCTTCATTCGCCCTGAATTTCCGCATCGGTGAACGACTTACTTTTAGGTTGTGTGGAAAAGACTATACGCGGACAGCAAAAAAAAAGTGTTACCCCCCCCCTCCCCCCC